AGACTCAATTCGGTAGTATGTGCCCAATTTCATCCAATTTGGGCAAATATTAGACGTTTGGTGCACAATCAAAGGTAAATCGGACGAACTTATATATGGGAGCTATATCCAAATCTGAACCGATCTCGATAAAAATTGGTAAAGGTATTTCTGAGCTGTGTTTGATATATTTCCCCAAATATCGTTGTTACATATTACGACTGCGGAGGATAAAAATAACAAATCGGCTGAACAGTATATATGGGAGCTATATCTGAATCGATTTCGATCAAATTTGGCATACTTATTTTCAGGCCTAATTTTATGGTATTTGCGAAATTCCATACTATTTCAACTGATATTACACGTTTGGTGCACAAAAAAGGCGAATTGGATGAAGATATATGGGAGCTATATCTAAATTTTGACCGATTATCTCTAATTTCAATAGGGTTCGTACCTTCCGATGTTTGGTATTTTCATGACTTAGCGACATTATTCACCGGAAATGTTTCAAATTTGGTAGTTGAAGTTCGTAATGGATACTACAGCCTATGACATAAAATTGTCTGTGCAGGTCCACGCCTTCGTATAGCCCGCATATAACGATACCCCCGATATTGGGTATTTTCATGATTTTAGCGTCATTATTCACCGTAGTAATTTCAAATTACGTATTTAGAGTTTGTAATGGGAACTACAGTCCGTGACAGAAAATTGCCTATGCAGGTCCAGGTCTTCGTATAGGCCCCATATATCAGTACCTCCTTATATTCGGTATTTTGACGATTTTAGGTACAATACTCACCGAAATTTTTGAGATGTCGTAATTGAAGTTCGTAATGAATACTACAGCCTATGACAGAAAATTGTCTATGCAGGTCCACGTCTTCGTATAGTCCCCATATAACGGTACCCCCCGATATTCGGTATTTTGATGATTTTAGCGACATTATTTACTGGAATTATTTCAAATTTTGTATTCGAAGTTCGTAATGGATACTACAGCCTGTGACAAAAAATTTTCTGTGCAGGCCCACATCTTCGTATAACCCCCATAAAACGGTACCCCCCGATATTCGTTACTTTGATGATTTTAGCGACTTCATTGAATGGAATTGTTTCAAATTTTGTATTCGAAGTTCGTAATGGATACTGCAGCCTATGACAGAAAATTTTCTTTGCAGGTCCACGTCTTCGTATAGCCCCCATATAACGATACCCCCCGACATTCGGTATTTTGATGATTTTAGCGATATTATTTACCGGAATCGTTTCAAATTTTGTATTTGAAGTTCGTAATTGAAGCTACAGCCTGTGACAGAAAATTGTCTGTGCAGGCTTATGACAAAAGTTGCGTATGCAGGTCCATGTCGTCGTATAGACCCTAATATACGGCTACATTCGGTATTTTTAAGATTTTAACAGAATTTTTAATGGATTTTAATTTTTTGAAAATTGGCAAATTTGTACCAAATGGTGAAGGGTATTCAAAGTTCGGCCCGGCCGAACTTACAGCTTTTTTACTTGTTTAAACGTAGAATTTTAAGATTTTTTTCTAAGGAATTCGCCAAGGATTGTCATTGCATTTATCGTTTTTTTTCTGAAAAAAATGTCACTAAATTTTCAAAGATAATAAACTTTCCAAATTTAGTATTTTTATAATTTTTGCCCAAGGGTAGAACAGGTGGTTTCGAATACAGTAACATAACATTGTTAAGAATTCATTTCAAGGACTATCTGCTTGGTAGGCATTTTCTGTTTTTTTTTAAGGATTAAGGAGCATTTTTCAAATTATTTTTTTTAAATTTGAAATTTTTTGAGGATATCAGTAGATTTTCAGGACTACTATATTCTTATATATGTTAGGGTATATTTCTTACCCTAACATGATTGTCAGATCCATCAGCTGTTCAAATGCAGACATTTTTTTCAAAGGAATTTTTCAAATCAATTTTTTTTAATCTGAATTTTTTCAAGGATATCAGCGGATTTTTAGGATTACTAATTTCTTTAATTTGATCCTTAGAATTTTCTGTTTTTTTAAGGATTTTTTATTTAAATCTGGAAATTTCCAAGGATATCAGTGGATTTTCAGGTCTACTATGTTCTTAAATATATTTTACCCTAACATGATTGTCAGATCCATTAACTGTTCAAATGCAGACATTTTTTTTTTTCATTGGAATTTTTCAAATCATTTTTTTTAATCTGATTTTTTCAAGGATATCAGCGGATTTTCTGGATTACTTTTTTTTTTTAATTTTGGCTTATGGCTTATGCCTTTTTCAAGGATTAAGGAGCAGTTTTCAAATCATTTTATTTAAATCTGAAATTTGTCGAGGATATCAGTGGATTTTCAGGACTTCTATTTTCTTAAATATTTTTACCCTAACATGATTGTCATGCTATTCCATCACCTGTTCAAATGCAGGCATTTTTTTCAAAGGAATTTTTTAAATCAGTTTTTTTTTAAATCTGAATTTTTTCAAGGATATCAGCGGTTTTTCAGGATTACTAATTTTTTTAATTTGATCCTTAGAATTTTCTGTTTTTTTTTTTAAGGATTAAAGAGCATTTTTCAAATAATTTTTTTTTTTAAATCTGAAATTTTCAAGGATATCAGTGGATTTTTAGGACTTCTATGTTCTTAAATATTTTTTACCCTAACATGATTGTCAGATCCATTTACTGTTCAAATGCAGACATTTTTTCAAAGGAATTTTTCAAATCATTTTTTTTTTAATCTGAATTTTTTCAAGGATATCAGCGGATTTTCAGGATTACTAATTTTTTTTAATTTGATCCTTAGAATTTTCTGTTTTTTTTTTGTAAGGATTAAGGAGCAGTTTTCAAATCATTTTATTTAAATCTGAAAATTTTCGAGGATATCAGTGGATTTTCAGGACTTCTATGTTCTTAAATATTTTTTACCCTAACATGATTGTCATGCTGTTCCATCACCTGTTGAAATGCACACATTTTTTTCAAAGGAATTTTTCACATCATTTTTTTAATCTGAATTTTTTCAAGGATATCAGCGGATTTTCAGGATTACTAATTTTTTAATTTGATCCTTAGAATTTTCTGTTTTTTTTTAAGGATTAGGGAGCATTTTTCAAATCATTTTTTTAAATCTGAAATTTTTCGAGGATATCAGTGGATTTTCAGGACTACTATATTATTAAATATTTTTTACCCTAACATGATTTTCATGCTGTTGCATTACCTGTTCAAATGCAGACATTTTTTTCAAAGAAATTTTTCAAATCATTTTTTTTAAATCTGAATTTTTTTCAAGGATATCAGCGGATTTTCAGGATTACTAATTTTTTTTTAATTTGATCCTTAGAATTTTCTGTTTTTTTTTTTGTAAGGATTAAGGAGCAGTTTTCAAATCATTTTATTTAAATCTGAAAATTTTCGAGGATATCAGTGGATTTTCAGGACTTCTATGTTTTCAAATATTTTTTACCCTAACATGATTGTCAGATCCATCAGCTGTTCAAAAGCAGACATTTTTTTCAAAGGGATTTTTCAAATCATTTTTTTTAATCAGAATTTTTCAGGGATATCAGCGGATTTTCAGGATTACTATTTTTTTTTTTTAATTTTAATTTATGCCTTATGCTTTTTATAAGGATTAAGGAGCCTTTTTCAAATCAATTGTTTTAAATCTGAAAATTTTGGAGGATATCTGTGGATTTTCAGGACTTCTATTTTCTTAAATACTTTTTACCCTAACATGATTGTCAGATCCATCACCTGTTCAAATGCAGACATTTTTTTTTCAAAGGAATTTTTCAAATCATTTTTTTTAATCTGAATTTTTTCAAGGATATCAGCGGATTTTTAGGATTACTATTTATTTTTTAATTTTGATTTATGCCTTATGCTTTTTTTAAGGATTGAAGAGCATTTTTCAAATCATGTTTTTTAAATTTGAAAATTTCCAAGGATATCAGTGGATTTTCAAATATTCTTAAATATTTTTTCTTAAATATTTTTTATCCTAACAGGATTGTCAGATCCATCAGCTGTTCAAATGCAGACATTTTTTTAATGAATTTTTCAAATCATTTTTTTTAAATTTGAATATTTTCAAGGTTATCAGTGGATTTTCAGGATTACTATTTTTTTAATTTTGTGTTTTTATGCCTTTTTTAAAGATTAAGGAGCATTTTTCAAATCAATTTTTTTATATCTGAAAATTTTCAAGGATATTAGTGCATTTTCAGAACTTCTATATTTTTAAAAATTTTTTCCCTAACATCATTGCTAGATCCATCATCTGCTCAAACGTAGAATTTTCAGAATTTTTTTCAGAGGAATTTTCCTAGGAGGGTCAATGAATTTTTACTCAAGAAATTGTTAAGAATTGTTTTCAAGGACTATCTTCTCTACTGAGCAGCGATTCAAAAAAAATTTTCAGAGCTTCGGAAGGCTGTAAAGTATTAGGATTTGGCCATTTTTAACGCTGTTTTTACTTGTCCTATTTTATTCTCTTATTCTAAAGCAATTCTGAATTCCCTGTAGCAACAGGAAATAACATGAGTATCCAATTCAAATCTGTGTATAAAATTTATCATCTTATTTTCAGATAAAAAAAAATAAATAAAAAAACATTAATTTTAAAATTAAAACCAACAAAATCCGGAATAAAAAAAATAATATGTGAATTTTGATAAAAATAAAAAAAAAAAATAAAAATTCAAATCTAAATTGAAAATTACAAAAAATAACTATTTAAAAACTGAAAAAAAAAAACAACCAAATCTGTGTCTAAAATTTATCATCTTTTTTTCAGATAAAAAAAAATAGAAAAAAAAACATTAATTCCAAAATTAAAACCAACAAAATCCGGAATAAAAAAAATAATATGTGAAATTTGAAAAAAAAAAAATAAAAATTCAAATCTAAATTGAAAATTACAAAAAATAACTATTTAAAAACTGAAAAAAAAACAACCAAATCTGTGTCTAAAATTTATCATTTTATTTTCAGATAAAAAAATATAAAAAAAAACATTAATTTCAAAATTAAAACCAACAAAATCCGGAATATGTGAAATTTGAAAAAAAAAATAAAAATTCAAAACTTAATTGAAAATTACAAAAAATAACTATTTAAAAACTGAAAAAAAAAAACAACTCAATACCATATTTAAATATATGCTCGCCATCACGTGTGATTAATCTCTGGAAAAATACCACAAATAAGCCGGCAGAACGAAAGAAAAAAAATAAAAAAAAAAAAAACAAAAGAAACAAAAACTCCACCTGTAATTTGGAAAGCGTTTAATTACAAATTTAACGGTATTTTGTTTGAGCATGCCACACAGCCATGCCATGCATGCCATGTCATGTCCATAACTAATTAACTGTGATTTATTTAAATTTCGTTCAACCAAACGTGACACCTTCAAAGTCAAGTGAAGTGAAGTAAAAGAATCAACGGCAAAAGAGCCGGTTCTCCAACACGAAAAGCAAAAGAACAAAAATCAAGAATTTTCCAAGATTTTCTGCTGCACAAAAATAATTTCCTGCCAACAACACCAACAACAACAAACACATCGTAAAAATGGTTTGTTTCACACAATTTGTGCAAATTTTAATAGTTTCCTGCAGCATCAATATTCTGCTGCTGCTGTTGGTGATGGTGTCAGCCACAGCGGCCAGCAACACAACGCCATCGTCATCGGCTTCATCACTGCCATATGAAGCCAGTAGCTTTGCCACATCTGGAAAATACCATCACGAAGCACATCAGCAGCAATTTGCTGGGGAAAAATCCGCCACCAAGAAATTGCATCGCCATGCCACCAAAGGTCTTGACATGATGGCCATGGTCGCTTCGACTCGTCAAAATCCCATCAAAAATTGGTTTGGAGCCTTTAATAGGAACCTGACTACAACCACAACAAATGGGCCAGGCGGCGGCGGCGGCACCAATACTGCCCAGGATCCCAACAAACAGACATGTTCATGCAGGTGAGTTTCTTGAAGGAAATTTGACAAGTTTTAATTGAGATTTTTCTTCGAGTGTTCGGGGTTCTCGTAAAAATTGTTGGCACCTATCGGGATGGTGTTAATTGGAAATATCAATTAATTGTGTTACAAGAGCACGACGAACAAAATTCCTAAGCATTTGGTAGAACCATTAACCCCATAACGAGGTAACAAGTAGATTTTAAAAGCTTCATATATACAGTGGAACCTCTTTAATCTCGGGTCTTGCTCGGGACTGAGGTCAGCATGGATAAACAAAAAAACAGGGTTAATATTTAAAGCCGGCTTCCCGATGCCACAGGTGCAATATATTGCTTTACGGAAGACTTATAAGGATATTTCAGGATTTTTTTCAAGACCCCATCCCAGCTTCAAGCTTGGATCCTTTAAAAATTCGTTTTTAATTTTGGATTTTTTAAATATTTTTTTTCAAACTCCCATTCCAAGAACAAATGTAGATTAGAGGACCTTCAAGGCTATAGAAATGTTTTTTCTATTTTTTAAGAAGACTTTTAAGGACTTCTATTAGAAGACATGTAAGGATTTTTTAAAGGGGCTGTAATCGCGTTTTTTAGGAATTTTATAAGGGCCCCCATTCCAGCTATAAACAGCGATTTTGTGAGGATTTTCCTAGAGGAAGTTCTTTTTTTATGATTTATAAGAGAATTTAAAAATGTAATTAAGGGACCTCCAAGGCTATAAAGGGCTAAAAAGACTCCAGTCGCGGATTTTTTAAATTTTAGGGCTCTTCAAGGCTGAATATTTTTAGATTTTCTCCAGGACCGCCAAGAGTATAATCTTCAATCTTGAATTTTTTAATTTTTTTTTTTAGATTTTGGATTTTTTGACAGATTTTTTTTCAAGCTCCCATCCCAACAACAAATGTAGATTAGAGGACCTTCAAGGCTATAAAAATGTTTTTGCTTATTTATTTTTTAGAAGACATCTAAGGACTTCTATTAGAAGACATGTCAGGATTTTTTAAAGAAGCTATAATCGTGTTTTTTATGAATTTCATTCAAGCCCCCATTCCAGCTATTAACGGCGATTTGGTGAGGATTTTCCTAGAAGACCTTCAAATGTACAAACGTGCTTTTTTAAGATTTATGAGAGAATTTAAAAATGTAATTAAGGTATCTCCAAGGCTATAAAAGGCTAAAAAAACTCCATTCGCGGATTTTTTTTAAATTTTAGGGATCTTGAAGGCTGAATATTTTTAGATTTTCTCCAAGACCGCCAAGAGTATAATCTTCAAGCTTCAATCTTGAATTTTTTAATTTTTTTTTTTAGATTTTGGATTTTTTGAAAGATTTTTTTTTTTTTTTTCAAACCCCCATCCCAACAATAAATGTAGATTAGAGGACCTTCAGAGCTATAAAAATGGATTTTTTTGGTGATTTTTAAAAGACATCTAAGGACCATATAAATATTTTTTTTAGAAGACATGTCAGGATTTTTTAAAGGGCCTATAATGGTGTTTTTAAGGAATTTCATACAAACCCCCATTCCAGGTACTAACAGCGATTTTGTGAGGATTTTCCTAGAGGATCTTCAAATGTAGAAACGTGCTTTTTTTAAGATTTATAAGAGAATTTAAAAATGTAATTAAGGGACATCCAAGGCTATAAAGGGCCAAAAAGACTCCATTCGCGGATTTTTTTAAATTTTTAGGGATCTTCAAGGCTGAATATTTTTTGATTTTCTCCAGGACCGCCAAGAGTATAATCTTCAATTTTTATAGAATATTCATCAGTCCCAAGTCAGCCATAAAATTTTCTAATCGTACCAACAGTTTGTGTTAGGCCTTTTCATAAAATTCTGTGTCTGTGTGGATTTTTTTAATTTTAGGGCTCTTCAAGGCTGAATATTTTTAGATTTTTAGATCCAGGACCGCCAAGAGTATAATCTTCAATTTTTATAGAATATTCATCAGTCAAAAGTCCACCATAAAATTTTCCAATCGTACCAACAGTTTGTGTTAGGCCTTTTCATAAAATTCTGTGTCTGTGTCTGTGTGGATTTTTTAAATTTTAGGACCCTTTAAGGCTGAATATTTTTAGATTTTCTCCAGGACCGCCAAGAGTATAATCTTCAATTTTTATAGAATATTCATCAGTCAAAAATCCGCCATAAAATTTTCTAATGGTACCAACAGTTTGTGTTAGACCTTTTTATAAAATTCTGTGTCTGTGTGGATTTTTTAAATTTTAGGGACCTTCAAGGCTGAATATTTTTTTAGATTTTCTCCAGGACCGCCAAGAGTATAATCTTCAATTTTTATAGAATATTCATCAGTCAAAAGTCCGCCATAAAATTTTCTAATCGTACCAACAGTTTGTGTTAGGTCTTTTCATAAAATTCTGTGTCTGTGTCTATGCGGATTTTTTAAATTTTAGGGCTCTTCAAGGCTGAATATTTTCTAGATTTTCTGCAGGACAGCCAAGAGTATAAACTTCAATTTTTATAGAATATTCATCAGTCAAAAGTCCGCCATAAAATTTTCTCATCGTACCAACAGTTTGTGTTAGGCCTTTTCATAAAATTCTGTGTCTGTGTGGATTTTTTAAATTTTAGGGCTCTTCAAGGCTAAATATTTTTAGATTTTCTCCAGGACCGCCAAGAGTATAATCTTCAATTTTTATAGAATATTCATCAGTCAAAAGTCCGCCATAAAATTTTCTAATGGTACCAACAGTTTGTGTTAGACCTTTTTATAAAATTCTGTGTCTGTGTCTGTGTGGATTTTTTAAATTTTAGGAATCTTCAGGGCTGAATATTTTCAAGATTTTCTCCAGGACCGCCAAGAGTATAATCTTAAATTTTTAAAGGAATATTTGTCAGTCAAAAGTCCGCCATAAAATTTTCTAATTATACCAACAGTTTGTGTTAGGCCTTTTCATAAAATTCTGTGTCGATTTAGCGATGTCCGTGCGTCTATCAGTCTGTGGGTCTGTGGAAACCACTCTAGCTTCCGAACGAATTCAAGATAGATTGATAAAATTTTACTCAAATATATATTATGTCTGCAGGACTTTTGGTATTGAAAATGGGTCATGTAGGTCCACGTTTTGGCATTGCCCCCATATAACGGTACCTTCCGATATTCGATATTTTGATGTTTTTAGCGACATTACTCATCGGAATTCTTTCGAATTTGGTATTTGTTGTTCGTAATGGGTGCTACAACCTAAGACAGAAAATTGTCTGTGCAGGTTCACGTCTTCGTATAGCCCCCATATAACTGTACCTCCCGATAATTCGGAATCCGATGTTAATTTCGCGCTTTATGAGCTTCATTGGTATTCAAAAAATTTTGACGCTTTGTGGGGGAGGTACCAGAAGGAGTGGATCGACATATTCCATCTTAGCACCAGATCTTGGGTTTGTAAAAATATTGGGATGTGTTAAATTTTAAGACAATCGGACTCTTACTCCACATTTTAAAAAAGTTATAAATATTCAAAACATTGACCCTTTGTGGGGGAGGTGCCAGAAGAGGTGCACCGATATTGCCCATCTCTGAACTTGATCTAAATTTGATAATAATATTACCATGTACCAAGTTTGCACCAAATCGGATACTCCCTACGAGAGTTATCGTGCGCACCAGCCACCCACACAGATAGACGGACGGACGGACATCGACAATTTGGAGACAATCGGTACTCGATGGTGTGAACCGATTTTGTCCATTTTCGCACCTGACCTAGCACTAGTGGAAATATTTGGATTTGCAAAGTTGGAGTTGGAAAATCGGATTATCGTTTTTTTTTTTCTGTGCAGAAAAATATTTTTGTTGAAAATTTCGACATTTTGTGGGGGAGGTACCAGAAGGAGTGGATCGATATTGTCCATCTCCGAACTTGATCTAAGTTTTATAATAATATTACGATGTACCAAGTTTGGACCAAATCGGATACTTCCTACGAGAGTTATCGTGCGCACCAGCCAGAGAGAGAGAGAGAGAGAGGGAGAGAGAGATGGACATCGACAATTTGAACAATTTGCAGACAATCGGTACTCGATGGTGTGAACCGATTTTGTCCATTTTCGCACCTGACCTAGCACTGGTGGAAATATTTGGACTTGCAAAGTTGGAGTTGGAAAATCGGATTATCGTTTTTTTTTCTGTGCAGAAAAATATTTTTGTTGAAAATTTCGAAATTTTGTGGGGGAGGTGCCAGAAGGAGTGGATCGATATTGCCCACCTCCGAATTCGATCTAAGTTTGATAATAATATTACCATGTACCAAGTTTGGACCAAATCGGATACTCCCTTCGAGAGTTAACGCGCGCACCAGCCAGAGAGAGAGAGCGAGAGAGAGAGAGACGGACGGACATCGACAATTTGGACAATTTGGAGACAATCGGTACTCGATGGTGTGAACCGATTTTGTCCATTTTCGCACCTGACCAAGCACTGGTGGAAATATTTTCAGAAAAATATTTTTGTTGAAAATTTCGACATTTTGTGGACCTCCCCCAGAAAAGTGGACCTTTATTGCCCATCTCTGAAGTTTGATAATAATATTACAATGTGCCAAGTTTGGACCGAATTGGATACTCTCATCGAGAGTACCAGCTAGACAGACAGAGAGACGGACAGACAGACGGAAATTGCTGGATTGATTCCAAATATCCTGAAACGGATTTCGTCCCAAAGAGACCTAGGGTCTAAAGGCACGTTTTGGCCATATCAAATGATATATACCCTCTCTAGCCATATGGCTGAGGCTATAATAATCCAAAAACCAGTAAAGAAAGTCTTCAAGTCGGGCGGGGCCGACTTTAGGATACCCTACACCACTTGACTAATAAAGTAGAGCTCCACATAACAATTAAATGTTTTTATGGGAGAATTGAATCCTACACGCTACGATTATGATTATAATTTAAAGTTCAAAAGACTTAATATGCCGAAGCATTTGTATCTTTTAAATTCGGACCTGTATTGCCCATTTGGTGCACAATTAATTTGAAAT